AAAGAATATTTCTTTATTACACTAGGAATGATCTTTTGATGTGTAATCAGTTGAGAGTATACTTGACAAGTTAAACATCCTATGTCCTGCTAATAGTAAGGTAAAAAAAAAATGAATTCTATCACAAAAATACAGAAGCACATAAAAATATTATCCTAAAAACTGTTCTAAAGGGGAAAAACAAAACTGAAATAATAATGCTAAAGAAAACACATGAATGCTGATAAGGGTTTATTCAAGAGAAATTATCAACTTTTAATGGTTTACACATTCAACCTAGAAAGATAAAAATTAAATAGGAATGCAATTCAAAAGGTTAAGAAAGAAAAGAAGGGTAAAGATAGCTGGGGGAAAAAATAAACACAGAGTCAGAAATCAGTGAAGAAGGAAACAGAAAAACCTGAGACTTGCTTTCTTCAAAGAATATATTAACTAGAGGAACCACTATTTAGTCACATCAAAAAAAGGTAATACAATATATAAGTATATATATATAATTTAAATGTGCATCACAGATACAGATGAGGTATTTTTACTGTATATTGAAATAGTATGGTAAATCTATGCTAATTAATTCAAAAGTCTCAATGAAACAGAAATTTCATCTAGAAAAACATATATTGACCAAATTAGCATGAGAATAAAATAGGTGGAAAGAGTAAGGAAAAAGCTTTTCAAAAGTCAATTTTCTCTTTCTTACAACACACTTTGAGATATAAGGATAAAAATTTCAAATTTAGCAAAAACATAAGAATCAAGATAATATTCTTACCAATAATAAAACAATGAAATGCTCAGAAGTTAATTTTTATAAAGTTAGTATAACTCTATAACCATAAATCTAAAAAATAGTCCAATTTTACAAATATAACAAAAAATTAAACAAAATGAAGACTTTCAGTAACTCTGAAACTCTACAACGAAAGCAACGGAATCTGACTATTCTGTTATATTACCAATTTTAATATTCAGTGCATAAATAAGTGAATGCAAAAGAAATTTTTTTAAAACTCATAAAACAAATCTAGTTCTAGATGTACAGATATAATAAAACATGAGGCAAAATATATATTTCAGAAATGCAAAACCGAATATAACTCAATTTAAATGGGCAATTAAAATCTTAATACCCTTTCTTCATTAAAATAAAAAGTAACTACATAAACGTTACTATTATATAAATAAATCTAGAAAAAGAAAGTATTTATTCAGTATGATAAAAATGTTATTTTTATAGGTCTGAAAAGATGCCATTTATTATCACATTTACAACATACTAGAGATTCCAGACAATGAAACAGTGGAAGAAAAAAGTATATATATATATTTTTATGTATATATATACACAGGTCAGTTCAGTTCAGTCGCTCAGTCGTGCCCGACTCTTTGCGGCCCCATGAATCGCAGCACGGCCAGGCCTCCCTGTCCATCACAAACTCCAGGAGTTTACTCAAACTCATGCCTATCGAGTCGGTGATGCCATTCAGCCATCTCATCCTCTGTTGTCCCCTTCTCCTCCTGCCCCTAATCCCTCCCAGCATCACGGTCTTTTCCAACAAGTTAACTCTTTGCATGAGGTTGCCAAAGTATTGGAGTTTCACCTTCACCAACAGTCCTTCCAATGAACACCCAGGACTGATCTGTTTTAGGACGGACTGGTTGGATCTCCTTGCAGTCCAAGGGACTCTCAAGAGTCTTCTCCAACACCATAGTTCAAAAGCATCAATTTTTCGGTGCTCAGCTTTTCTTACAGTCCAACTCTCACATCCATACATGACCACTGGAAAAACCATAGCCTTGACCAGATGGACCTTTATTGGCAAAGTAATGTCTCTGCTTTTTAATATGCTATCTAGGTTGGTCATAACTTTCCTTCCAAGGAGTAAGC